AGAATAAATTCTCACGAAGACGTCGCTTTCACTCCACTTAAGAGGAACACACTTGATTATAAAGCTTATGTTATGTAATGCAAGTGATGTGTGTGAGAAGAAATGTTCAAACCTTTGACAAACAAATAAATAATGAAATTTAATACTTGAAAATAAAATAAAAATAACATATATATATATATATATATATATATTATGAAAACAATAAGTATATATAAAAATTTTGAAAAGAAAGAATTAAATATATGAATTTTAAATTTCTAATTAATAGAGACAATTTGTAATTGATTTTAAAGTTTGATCAGGTCCCCAGCGGAGTCGTCAAGCTGTCGTAATCAGTTTTCGCCCGGGCACGAATTTTTACTTGGCGGAAAAAATTTAAAATGAATAAATAAATAATTTTTATAAAATAATATTTTGGGAGTCGCCATTGACCTCTTTTGGGTTAGGTAGGTCAAATACCTAAAAACAATCTTTTAAAATAGTTTTTAAGAAAACATAATTTAAAAGATAAAACTGATATGCATATAACCAAAAATTAAAAATAAATCGTGGTCGATTACGTTTGGGAAATTATTAGCACCCCACAACGCCCAAAATTGGTACTTATTAATTATAAATTGTCTCTATTATCATAAATTTAAAAATTCAAAGATATATTTAATTTATAATATTGTTATTTAAAATTATAATTTTATGAAAATCTATTAATTTTTATATGTAAATAAAATATTTATTTATTTAGAAATATCAGAAAATGACTTCTAGGTGCTTTAAGACAACTCTTTCCTTCGATATTAAAAAATAAATAAATTTTAATTAAATATTTCTTAAAAATTAATATATATTTTATAGGATAAAAATATCAGAAAACGGACTTCTATGTGCTTTAAGACAGCCTTTTCTTTAATATTATTAAAATAGGATAAAAATAATTTATATAAAGGATTTTAATAAAAGTAAAATAAAATAAATAAATATTATTTATTATATATATATATATATAATAATATTTTAAATATATCGATAATAAACATATAAAATTTAAACAATAACTATAATAAATGAAAGTAAAAATAATAAAAACTAATAATTTAAAGTTAATGACTAAATTAGAATATATTAAAATTAAATATCTAATTCACAATTAATTTATTTAAAATTACAGGGATTAAACATGCTATTTTTTATTTATTTAATTTAGGGACTAAAATATAATTATATTAAATTTGAATATCAAATTAAAATAAATTAAAACATGCTTTCAGGATTAAAATATTAATTAATAAAATTATGAGGACTAAATCGGTTATTTGCCTAATATATATATATATTTTATGGAAAGGACTAAATTATAATAAATTAAAATTCGAATACCAAATTATAATAAATAAAAACATGCTATAAGATCAAATTAATTTTTTTTAAAGTTACAGTGGCTGCGGGAATAATTTAGCCATGCGTGAAATTGCACAAAGGCCCTCCCTTAAACGACGTCGTTTAAGAGAGGGTATATATACCTGGTTATAGCTGGCCCTTCGGGTCACCATCTCATTTCTCTTCTCTCTCTAACTGAGAGAGAAAAAAAATTCTCTCGCCTCTCTCTAAGATTCCCTCACCGGAGGGAATCCAGTCGGCGGCCATACGCCACCGGCCACCACCACCGGTGGCCGAAAAACACTATCTTACACCAAAATGAAGATCAGACCTTCTTGATGACGAATCCGTTGTCCCTTTCCCTTAAATGGCTCCCGATTGGAGCAAATCTAGGAAAATACCTTCGATTTTCAAAGGTTTTTGGTGACGCGTGGAGGTTCGTATGAACTCCGGTAATGGCATGGCTTCCTCGGTAAGTATCTCTCCGTCTTTTCCTGGTTATTTTTGGTGTTTTGTAGTTGATGGGGTGCTCGTTCCTCTCTGGTTTTTCTTTGCAGGTTCAGTTGATGGCTTTATAGCCATCACCGGCGCTCATCTCGGACCGGATAATAGAGTGATTTCGGTGAGTCATCGAGCTATATGGTGACTCACCCCCAATAGTTGTGACGTGTGGGGCAGCTGGCTCTTCTGGAAAGCTTGTCGAGGCTTGAGGCGTGGCAGCAGTGTCGGCAAAGCAGCTGGACGTGGAGGGGCGGCAACAGAAGCGGCGACCGCGTGGTTTACCTAGGGTATCATACCCTAGGGTTTGGTCTGGAACCATCTGGACCGTTGGATCTAAGTTAGATCCAACGGCTGGTAAGGAGAGCGGCGGCTAGGATGATATAAATCCTAATCAGTTTAGGGTTTCCATTGAGCTCCGGGTTTGATTGTAAGTGGGCCTCGGGTATTGGGCCTGTTTGTAAATAAAATTATTTAGTAATAATAATAATAATAATAATAATAATAATAATAATAATAATAATAATCAAATGAAAAAAACGAGTATCTTCACCGTTGATGAAGAGTAGGAAATATCTTGCACCCGCTTCCATTGCTCTTATGTCATCACAAGCGGGTCAAGTAAGCTCTTTGTTGTATTAAATTATGAGTTATTAATTATCATAATAATAAACATTTTAGCATGTTCGATATCACGTCATCCTGTATAATTTACCGACAACAATATCATATCATCATGTATAATGTACAGACAATAATATTATGTCATCATGCATGAAAAAACAGGTAGGTATTTATGGATACTCTGCTTATTCAGCAACAAAGTTTGGGCTCCGAGGATTAGCAGAAGCATTGCAACAGGAAGTCATTTCTGATAACATTCATGTCTCTGTAATTTACCCTCCCGACACACAAACTCCAGGTTTTGAGCAAGGTATCACATTTTTTACCTTATAATTACAATTCGTATTATCATAACTTTTTTTTTGTAATTACACATGAATATAATTATTAAAATAGTGATTATATATTCATACAATTATACTCTAAACACATCAATTATTGTAATTGTTACGATAATATCAATTATATATGTTATATTCTGTCAAAGGTCTTCCGTATACCACTTCTATACTTTATAGCTTCAACAACAACCTAGAAGCATTTCTCAATTTATGACATCTAGGGAATTGTGGAAGACATAACGTTTTGACAAACTGCGACCTATTGACATGATTTAGTAGATTCATGTAATTTATCAGAATTAAATCTACTATCAACTAATCGTATTCACTTAGCATGTCAACATAACAAAAAGTCATGATAATCCTACGCTTGACATCGAAACCTTTTGATCAAGACTGAGAAATATGATAAAAACATATATAATCACCTCATCCTTATTCATCTCAACTCTATCTCCTTATAGAGACAAAACACATCGACACTTATCAACAATCGATCTATTACTAATTACGACTCTCCTTTTAAATTAAAAAGAGTGAATCATAGGTAACAACCGTAAACCATTTATTTCTATCAACAAATTAAATCTACAGATACAGTAAACATAACTTTAAGGGTTTAGGGTTTTTAAAAATCCCTGTGTTTTTTTTTTTGCAGAAAGAAGGATAAGACCGGAGCTGTCAGACATGATAATGGGATCAGGTGCTGATGTATTGAGTGCTGAAAATGTAGCAAAGAAGACAATGGATGGCATAAAGAGAGGAAGCTTTAGTATTTGGTTCAACTTGGAAGGTTACATATTAGGTTTCTCTGCTGCTGGTTTCTCCCCTCAAACATCTTTTCTCCTGGCTTTCCTTGAGATCCTTCTCGCTGGTTTATCACGTCTAGCAGCTTTCTTTATCTTGCGGAGTTGGTATATCATCATTCAAAAGAAGCATGCAAATTAAGAGTTTTTTTTTTTAAATTAGTGTTGTTCTCCTAAACCCTAAATGTTATTGATTTCATCTGTTCGCTTTGGTGTTTGATTCTGTGATCACTTGGCATTTCAGCTCTGTGTAATCGTTCACTTCTCGAGGGTCTTTTATACTTGGACCTTTTATATATGGATTATATTGTAAACATTAACAAGAAGAATAAGTAGCCCACCTAGAAACTAAAAAATGGATGTCTAAAATAAATAAATATTATAATATTTATTAAAAGAATTGGTAAAATTGAATCCAAAATTTAAATTTAATAACATTTAAATATTTTGCATAAAATCACTCTAATCTATCAAATTGAATTTAAAATTAAAATTCAATATTTTATTTATTTATTTTTTGGTTATCCTTCTTATTTCAAGGTTTATCTTGACTAATCCGAATTAAGCATATTTAGTTTATCTTGACTAATCCGAATTAAGCATATTTAGTTTTGACGAGTGAGTCTCGAGATTTTCTATCTTTATAAAGACTTAAACTCGAAATCTTACTTAAATGATATTAAGTTGTTTGATAAAAAAATGTGAATTTAAAAATTAAAATATGAATTTAACTAAATTTAAGATGTATATGAATAAGTGAAAGAAAATAAGAAAAAGGAACGGAAAACAGCTTGCAAGCAGCTCGACCGAAAAAATCGCCAGAAAATTCCAGGTGGCCGGCGTGTAGCAACTGGTTCAGTAATCAGAACTGATGAAGAAAGGAATGGCAATGACTAAGTTGTGTATGAACTATTAGATAATAGAAAAAGTGAGAGGAAAAAGTAATGGGTGTTCAAAAAAGTGAGAGATTTTTAATATTTTAATTAATATATTTTTAAAGAAATTAGAATTAAAAGGGTAAAGTATAGTAATGGTCACTTAACTTTTCTAAATATTTCATTTATGTCCCCAAACTTTTAAAACTTGTAATAAAGTCCCAAAACATTTAGTCCGTTTGCAATATGGTCCCCCAACAGTTACGTCGGGGACCATATTGAAAACGGATTAAATGTTGAGGGACCATATTGAAAATAGACTAAATGTTTTGGTATTATATTAAAATTTTTAAAAGTTTGGATATCTAAATGAAAGTTTTAGAAAAATTCAATGACCATTAATATACTTTACCCAAAACTTTATTACAACGCTTAATATATCATCATCTCCATCTTGAGTATCTTCGGCCGGTCTCCTGTGTTCTCAGTTTCTACAGGGAGGCGGCAAAAAGAGAAAAGTTGTTATTTTAAGATAAAATATCGTATTTGTAATTTCTCCTAAAAAAAGTAGTTTAAATTCGATATTAACCTTCCACTTTTGTCCGCCCCTTCCCAATTTCCAGCTACCTTTACGTTTCTCTCTTTGTTTCTTCTTCTTCTTTACCTGCAGTCTCTCACTAACCCTATCTTTCTAATCCTTTCCCCCTTCTGAAAATTGGGTTTCCAATTTGGTAGCCTAAATCCAGAGAGCGAGAGGAAAAAAGTTATTTTTTTTGTTTCCTTATCAAGAATTAAAGCTCTGGCGATGGAAGAGCTAGGGCAGTTTAAAAGGGCATTACTTGATGCCACTGCAGGCGCTATTGCTGGCGGCATTTCTCGGACAGTTACTTCTCCTCTTGATGTTATTAAGATAAGATTCCAGGTGAAACGAGGGTTTATTATTATTATTATTATTATTATTATTATTATTATTATTATTGTTATTTTTTTTAATACGAGGAACATTGGAATTACTGTATGTGCTGTTATATTTGTGATATTCTTTCTGGGGTTTTTGATTTTCTATGAATTGAACTGTTTTTAGGCTTTGCTCTGTGGAATTGATTGAAAGAGGTAAAGGATAAATAACTTGTTAACCCAATGGTTCAGATTCATGTTGTATGTTTGCTTCATAGCTTAACATGTTTTTCCAATCCTTGCTACCAAGCAAAATCTTAGAGAGCAAGTTGTCAGGCATGGTAGAGTGTTAGGTGAATCCAATTCTGTTTAGTTTGCAATGTTGCAATTTGAAATGTATGCTTCACTTGATTGATACGTATTAAGTAGTTGTTTGCAATGTTGCAATTCGAAAGATATTGAGATACTGACTACATAATCTTCATATTTGGCCTATAAATTCATGCCATTGGGTATCAGATAACAGCAGCAAAACTGAGCCTTTCTCGCACCATGCCGTGAATGTTTTATGAATCATAATGTATAATTATATGGGACTTAGAAACATTTAGTTGTTAAAAGCCCCAATTTTTTCTTGAATAACCTTGTTCTATTTGGTTGTCCTCCAAAATTCGCTATTCATATTTCATACTTGTTTTCTTGCCAAAGCATTGTTTTGTTTCCTTTTTTCTATGTTTAATTATTTTAAACATGTTTTCATAGTTTAATCCACATTGTATGCATTGCAACCTCCATCTTGTCCCAAATGCTTTTATTTATGAGAATTTCCATTTCAGCTCTGGGCTTGTGTCATTACATATTAATCCTTTGTTGCCAACATTAAGGTTTTTCCCCCTATGCTGTTAGGTTCAATTGGAGCCTACATCTTCATGGGGTTTGATTCGGAAAGATCTTTCAGGACCATCAAAGTATTCTGGAATGTTTCAAGCAACAAAGGAGATATTCAGGGAAGAAGGTTTACCGGTATGACAGCCATTTTGTTGTAGACTTGTATGTTTATTTCCTTTTTTATTTCACTGGTTATGTTTGGGAATGGTTTATATATACTGCTTATTAATTTCTATTGTTAGCTGCATTGTTACTTAGCCTTTTCTTTTCTGTTTGTTGATTTTCCTGAGTTTTGGTAGATTTGATTCTTCTTCTTCTTTTTTTTCTTATTCACTATGCCTGTTTATGGCGCAGGTCTTTTGGCGTGGTAATGTACCGGCTTTACTTATGGTTATGCCATATACTGCCATACAGTTTGCGGTGTTACACAAATTGAAAACGTTTGCTTCTGGTTCTTCCCATACAGGTACTTTACATTGCAGAATATCTTTTCTTATGCTCCAATCAAAAGTAATAAGAGTCAGGTTACGCTATATATTGACTGTAATTTGGGACATAGATCTAGTTAATATAGAAGATAAATATTTTTTGTCCTTGATGTCCACCGTTATATGTAGTATTTTAATAGTTGGTTTATTATATCAGAAGATAACCTAATGTTGTTTCTTACGTTTTGATCTTGTCATGATCAGCGGATCATCTTAATATAAGCCCCTACCTATCTTACGTTAGTGGGGCATTAGCAGGCTGTGCAGCTACTGTTGGATCTTATCCTTTTGATCTTCTACGGACAATATTAGCTTCACAAGGTGAACCTAAGGTATTAAATTGCCTAATGCTGTGATGTCATTTTCTGCTTTGGCAACATTTCATTCAATTGTGTGGGAAATATATTTTTGAATCCGTATACAATTACGTGTTCACCTTTTTCGATAAGTTTTTATAATTGCATCCCTGAACTCATAATATGATGTGCGGAAACTTCACCCATTGTATCCTCATACTTCTTAGCTGCAAACGCTTTAATCTCTTCAATGTAGCTCATTTGTGCCTCTTCAATGTAGCTCATTTATTTGGCACCTCCTGAATACGTGTAGGTATATCCCAACATGAAATCAGCACTATTTGATATACTTCAAACTCGTGGCTTCAGAGGATTGTATGCCGGGTTGTCACCAACGCTGGTTGAGATTGTTCCTTATGCTGGCTTGCAATTTGGCACTTATGATACGTTTAAGCGTTGGTGCATGGTGAGGTTTTTGTTCTTTTACTTAGTGTGATACTGGTTAAATTTTAGATATATTCAAATGAAATGAAATTGTTTGAATATATTGAAATATTGAAATACATTTATTTTCGAAGTAACCATTTCTGATGTATGGTTTTGGTTTTTATGTCTTCATCTTAGGCTTGGAATCATTTAAGATCATCCAGTACAAGCTCAACCACAGATGATAGCCTTTCAAGTTTTCAACTCTTCATTTGTGGGCTAGCAGCTGGTACTTGTGCGAAACTCGTCTGTCATCCGCTTGATGTAGTCAAGAAAAGGTTCCAGGTAGATATATTGGGATCATTTAATTGTCTATTTTCTTTTAGATCTTGTTTTATATATCGTTGCTCATTTATTTTTAGATAATGGTAGTGCTTTACATAACTTTAATGTTATTGCTTGGTTGCAGATTGAAGGACTACAGCGGCACCCGAAGTATGGTGCCCGAGTAGAACATCATGCTTATAGGAACATGTTTGATGCTTTACACCGGATTCTGAGGTCAGAGGGTTGGCATGGTCTTTACAAGGGGATTATTCCGTCGACGATCAAAGCTGCACCGGCTGGCGCTGTGACATTTGTGGCTTATGAGTTTATATCAGATTGGTTAGAGTCCATTCTGACTTGAGGCTGACCCTCGTTTTCATTTTTAGGTTTCCTTCTCATCAATGACATAATTCATTATTTTTCTCTGAATTTTGTTAACCCCATAAGAAAATGTGAAAGGGTTTCATCATATTGTTACATTCAATTGTCATTAGTTACAGGAAGTTGATATTGTTCAGAGTATTGGATTCGGTGGTGAATGCTATTTTGTTTTTCCATATAGTTGCTTAATGCAATGAAAAGCTTTAAACGTTGAATCGCTGCAAACTTGTTTGGTCACATCGATATAGATCAATACCCAAACCAAAAAGATACTTGAAGCTAGCATTTAAAGCAATATGATACCTGATAGCTCTGTTTTGTAATGTTGAAACTCTTCATGTGACATTATCCAATTTCAAGGGATTTGAGTGTATAAACTCACTGAAATGTAAGAATCAGTTGAGCATCATTGTAAAACCAACCATCTTTCCATTATTTTTTATAAAAAAAAACTACATCATAAATTTATCATACAGTATATCCATCAGGGTGAACATCCAAGTTCCAAATATGATCTATTTTGTCAAATGATAAACTTCAAATACAAAATCCAACTTCAAAATAAGAGGAAAATGAAAGTCAGGCTTCTTTATTGGTGCTTTTTGGACTTGGTGTTGTCCTCTGGAGGAAGGGATATGAATTGCAGGATCGTTTGGACCTGAGCAACATCCAGTCTGAACTTCTCTGCAATCCGGTTAACATCCATGGCACCATCATGATCATCAGCCTTGCCCTGATATAGTAGCATGATGTGGTGTAGCTGTTTTACGTTCAAGGTTCCTGGAGGTGTGGGTCTTTCTTCATACCTTCCGGACTCAGTCGTTGTATTCCGCAATTTTGGCAAGGGTCTGGTAGGATTTTCGGCCACAAATGCCTGCAGTAGGAGGAAGTTAATTATTAACCAACATTAAAATAACACTGTCAAACATTCCTCTCCAACACCATTAGCGGATGCAATCACGATATCAGGTGTATCTAAAACCGAAACTATAACATAAAAAGGAATGAAAGAAGGACAACGACTAAACTGATACCAACCGGTTAAAAGACCGAGTGGAATCATTTTACTAAATCTTTACACTAGCCACTCATCCCTCTATCCAAATGAATATAATAGTCTATTCAATTCAGTGAAAACAAGAGAAATCTCAGGTCAAATGGAGGTCTAAAGACTCTAAACTTCATCAAATCCTCCAAACCTTGTTATCATAGAAATGACACTAGAAGTAATGCAAAGGTAGAGAGTTAAACGGTATAAGACGGGTTTAAAAAGCTAGAGAAGATAGCATAGGCACTGCAGAGTCACGTTCTTAAAATTTTTAAAGAAAAAAGGTTCTTAGCTATCTGAGTTGAGCTCAAGCAAGGGATCAAATGAGAATGTTGCTCAAGATTGGTCCTAAATCAACCGCTCTTTTGACATTAACTTGCATTCCGGCACTTCTCATTTCAAAAGAACTAGGCAATCCCACTAACATTAACAAAAAATTTGGTAAAGAATCAACAATACTAGAAGAAATACATAAAAAGAGTGAGCAAAATCATCCTCGAAAGAGTATTTCATGTTTTTGGATAATAGAACTGAAATGACTATTCTACAGAACAGCCAGTCCATGAATCAAACCTCGAGTAATTGTAATTCAAACATGCCCAAAATTGTCCAGTAGTTCAATTCCTTAAACAAGTTCCTAGTTTTCTGTTTCCTTCAAGTAGAAACCTCTGAGAAAAATTCCCACCTAAGGCATTGTTTGATTCTATTGAACACCATTACAGCTATAAATTTTCCTTTTTGACTAAGCTGTTATTCATTAACACAAAACCAAATTAAAAAAGAAAAACAATTTTAATGAACTGACCTCACCCATCTCAAGTTTGCCACCAGGCTTAGCTGAAATCCTACCCACCATTTGACTAAGCATTGCATCATACTTGGGATCTGTTAGGAAATAAACCAAGTACAAGTAATTTCCCTATAACCAGATTAGTGAGAATGCGAAATAAAAGCGGAAAAATAATACCCGAAATTTGATAACGGAGTTCAGCCAATTTATGCTTACGTCTCCGGACTGCTGCAGATCTTTTACTAAGAGAAAATTTACAGGTGTTTACACAACACACTTGAGAGAGAACTAGAAGATTTTGGGATGATTTTGAAGCTAAATGAGCTAGGGTATTTATAGTTAAAACTTAGGGACTAATATTGTAATTAAAAATAAAAATATTTTGGGCAGCCCCCCCTCCCCAATTTGTTTTAGCAGCCGGCTGCTACTTAGCAGCCCAACTTGTTCTTTAATTTTCAACAATCTCCCACTTGAAGACTGATTTCAATCTGTCTTCACACCTCGATCGATGCAGCAGTATTTCTGGTCTTTTATTCTAGCATGCCAACTGAAGCTGAACACAACTTCAGTTTGTCCGTAGTTACCGTCTTTGTTAACATGTCTGCTGGATTTTGAGCTCCACTGATCTTTTCAAGTTTCAAAATCCCATCTTCCAGAAGAGACCGGATAAAATGATATCGCAATTGTATGTGCTTCGTCCTGGAATGAAAAGACGGATTCTTCGCTAGATGGATAGCACTTTGACTGTCGCAATACAAGACATTGTTTTCTTGTTTCTTGCCTAACTCATTCAAGAAACTTTGGAGCCAGACCATCTCTTTGCTGGCTTCCGTAACAGCGACATATTCTGCTTCGGTTGTGGAGAGAGCAACTATCTTCTGTAGTTGAGAAACCCAACTCACTGCGGTTCCTCCTAGAGTATAGACATACCCTGTAGTGCTTCTTCTGATGTCAACATTTCCGGCTAAGTCAGCATCTACATAGCCTGTCAGTATCGTATCTCCACCTTTGAAACAAAGTGCTTTGTTTGTGGTACCTCGCAGATATTTGAGGATCCATTTGACTGCTTCCCAGTGTATTTTGCCTGGATTATTCATGTACCTGCTAACAGCTCCCACTGCTTGAGCAATATCTGGTCTGGTACAAACCATGGCATACATCAGACTTCCAATTGCTGAGGCATACGGCACCTTCACCATGTGTGCACGTTCTTCCTCCGTCTTTGGTGACTGTTCTTTGGAGAGTCTGAAATGAACACCTAAAGGTGTATTTACTGGTTTAGCATCTTGCATGTTGAACCTGGAGAGTACTTTGTTGATGTACTCAGCCTGTGATAACATCAAAGTCCCCGACTTTGTGTCTCTCTTGATCCTCATCCCAAGAATCTGCTTTGCAGCGCCGAGATCCTTCATAGCAAACTGCTTCGACAATTTTTGCTTCAAGTTTATAATCTCTTGCATATCTGAGCCTGCAACGAGCATGTCATCAACGTACAATAATAAAATAATGAAGCTGTTGTCGAACCTCTTGATGTAGCAACAATGATCTGCTTGGCATCTGGTAAAACCACTGCTACTCATGAAACTATCGAACTTCTTGTACCACTGTCTTGGAGCTTGTTTTAAACCATACAAGCTCTTCTTTAACCTGCATACCAGGTTTTTCTTGTCTGCTTTTATGAAGCCTTCTGGTTGCCTCATATAGATTTCTTCCTCCAAATCACCATGAAGGAAAGCTGTCTTTACATCTAACTGCTCAAGATGTAAATTCTCTGCAGCTACAATTTTCAACACCAGTCTGATTGTAGACAGTTTTACGACTGGAGAGAAAATTTCATTGTAGTCAATACCTTCTTTTTGCTGAAAGCCTTTGACAACCAATCTTGCTTTGTAGCGTTTTCTCCCATCGTGCTCTTCTTTGATCCTGTAAATCCACTTGTTATGGAGCGCTTTCTTGCCTGGTGGTAATTCAGCTAATTCCCATGTCTGATTTGACATAAGCGAGTCCATCTCATCTTTCATGGAAGACTCCCACTTGACTGAATCCTCCACTTGCATTGCTTCATCATAGCACTCTGGTTCACCATTGTCAGTTAGCAACAAGTAGTGCAAAGAAGGAGAATACCGTTGGGTTGGTTTAGGAATTCTGGAGGAGCGTCTCAGTTCTGGTGTGCTTGGTTCTTCTTGAACTGCTTCAGGATTGATCTGAACATCATTTCCAGAAATCTCCTCAAACTCAGCAAATTCCTTTGTTTCAGCTTTGGTATTTGAACTGCTTGATTCTACAGTTGACCTGTCTTTGTACATCACATTCTCATTGAAAATGACGTCTCTGCTTCTGATGATCTTTCGATTTTCGTAGTCCCAAAACCGATAACCGAACTCATCACCGCCATAACCAACAAAGGCACATTTGTTGGACTTAGCATCAAGTTTACTTCTTTCAGCAGAGTCTATGTGTATGTAAGAAATACAACCAAACACTCTTAAGTGTGAAAGGTTTATTTCTTTCTTGCTCCAAGCTTCCTCTGGTATTCCGCCATCCAAAGGAACTGAGGGCCCACGGTTGATCAGGTAAGCTGCAGTGTTGATAGCTTCAGCCCATAGAAATTTGGGCAATCCGGCATGTATTCTCATACTTCTAGCACGTTCATTCAGAGTTCTGTTCATGCGCTCAGCTACGCCATTCTGCTGCGGTGTTATGGGAACTGTTGTCTCCATCTTGATCCCATTGTTTGCGCAGAAATCTCTGAATCTATTGTCTCTGTATTCTCCTCCATTGTCAGACCTCAACCGCTTGACTTTCAAACCAGTCTCATTTTCCACCATGACCTTCCATTTTCTGAAGGTATCAAAGACTTCTGATTTCTTCTTCAGAAAATAAACCCACACCTTCCTTGTTGAATCATCGATGAAGGTGACATAATATAGTGAGCCTGCAAGAGATGGAACTGGGGATGGTCCCCATACATCAGTATGAATCAATTCTAACCTTTCTGCCTTGGGTGCCTTGCCAATCTTTGCAAAACTGACTTTCTTTTGTTTGCCAAAGATGCAATCCTCGCATAGTCCGACATCCACATTCTTTAGATCCGGCAGCTTCCCTTTTGACAGAAGTATCTTCATTCCTTTCTCGCTCATATGGCCAAGCCTTTGGTGCCATAGGTTTGATTTTCCATCAGCATCTGCTACTGCAATGATATTCTCTAAATTTGAGGTTACATAGAGAGTACCAGTCTTCTTACCACGAGCAATGACGAGTGCTCCTTTGGTAATCTTCCATTCACAACTTGAAAAGGTTGTACTATATCCTTCTCCATCAAGCTGTCCAACAGAAATCAGATTTCTTTTGAGGCCAGGAATATGTCTCACTCCTGTCAGCTTCCAGGTGGTCTGGTTTGGCAGCTTTAGTCGGATATCTCCTTTTCCGACGATCTTCAAGGTTTCATCATCAGCAAGATGAACCTTCCCAAAATCACCACTGATATAGTTCTCCATGATTTCTTGGCATGGGGTGGAGTGGAAAGATGCCCCTGAATCCAAGATCCATGATTCAATCGGACTGTTGACGCTTAGAATCATGGCATCACCTGTCTCCTCCGTCATGTTTGCAGATTCCTGTGCGCCGGTATTTTTCTTCGGTGCTCGGCAATCTCTTTTGAAGTGACCCTTCTTGCCGCAATTATAACAGGTAAAATCTTTCTTTCCCGTTCTGGATTTTTCCCGTCTGGATTTGGATCTGCCACGATTTGAATTTCTTTCTGAAGTTCTCCCTCTGGACTCCGTGTGCAAGGCTGAGGAGGTTGATGCTTCACCCGATTCTCTCCGTCGAATTTCTTCGCTCAGTACCAGATCCCGAACATCGTCGAATTTCAATTTACTATTTCCCGACGAGCTGCTAACTGCTGTAACAGTAGCATTCCAACTGTCTGGTAGAGATGATAAGAGAATTAAAGCTCGAACTTCATCATCGAATTCAATTTCCACAGAACTCAACTGGGTTGTGATTGTGTTGAGTTCATTCAGGTGTTGAGCCACTGATGCCCCTTCCGTCATCCGCAAATTGAATAATCGCCTCATCAAGTGAACTTTGTTTGAGGCCGATGGCTTCTCATACATACTGGAGAGAGCTGCCATAAGACCTGCCGTGGTCTTTTCCTTTGCTATGTTGAAAGCAACATTTCGGGACAACGTCAGTCGGATAACTCCGAGGGCTTGTCTGTCGAGAAGAGCCCAGTCTTCATTCTTCATGCCCTCTGGTTGCTTTCCTGAAAGAGGTTGATATAGATTTTTCTGATACAGAAAATCTTCAATCTGCATCTTCCAAAAGCTAAAGTCCGCACCATCGAACTTTTCAATTTTCACCTTCCCTTCGTCTGCAGCCATCGCTCCCACTCGAATCTGGCTTCGTTTGGATCGTTTCTGACAATTTCTGCGAACCGCCGTGTATTAGAACACCTCCGTCGACAAACTCGTATCGCCGACCGAATTTCACTATTCACGAAATTCGCTATTCACGTGAATAGTAATGAATAGTAACCTCACAGAAAATTGACAAAATTCACAACCAAAAGCTCTGATTACCAGTTGTTAGGAAATAAACCAAGTACAAGTAATTTCCCTATAACCAGATTAGTGAGAATGCGAAATAAAAGCGGAAAAATAATACCCGAAATTTGATAACGGAGTTCAGCCAATTTATGCTTACGTCTCCGGACTGCTGCAGATCTTTTACTAAGAGAAAATTTACAGGTGTTTACACAACACACTTGAGAGAGAACTAGAAGATTTTGGGATGATTTTGAAGCTAAATGAGCTAGGGTATTTATAGTTAAAACTTAGGGACTAATATTGTAATTAAAAATAAAAATATTTTGGGCAGCCCCCCTCCCCAATTTGTTTTAGCAGCCGGCTGCTACTTAGCAGCCCAACTTGTTCTTTAATTTTCAACAGGATCTCTTTCTTCCAGTACATTCTCAGGATTAACTCTTCCTTTTAACCCCAAAAAATTCAAATTCAAATAAGAACTCAAAATAAAAATCCAAACTTTTATTTTATTGGAATAGGGAAACGAATTACCATGGTCGAGATCTTCATGCTGGGAAGGTCTGGAAATCTTCTGTTCGTTGGTGGGACCCAAAGGTCTCCTTGTTTTTGTGGGTTGTGATTGGTCCACCAATCGAAGCCTACCAGTCGCTCGACGAAATGCCTGGCCCATTTCTCTCGCTTATTTCTCCGCCCTTTTAGTTATAACCTTCTGCTTTTTCCGGCATAAAAGAACAGATCCAAATTACAGTTTGGCTTCTATATCATTGTTCGCAAACGGAACGGTCGTTAAAAACCCTAATAAGGATTTTTATGGGTTTTATGCTTTTGGCTTTGTTCTGAGAGAAAGAAAGAGGGAAGAAGAAAAAAAAAGAAGGTAAATCGTGTGTGGAGACCACGCGCTGGTTTGTTTTATACAAATAATGACGGTAGATTCTGGTTTGCCACGTGGTGATTTCATATGACACACCTTTACTTTCATGGTAGCCTTAATTTAATTTCAATAACATTTTAGGTATTACTCAATAAGGACCTATTCTTTTAGGGATTACTCACTATGGTCCTAAGTTTTGAAAATATAGAAAAAATGTAATATTTTTTTGAATTTGTTCAAATAAGAGTTTAATCCTTTAAAACGGTCAGAGTCTTGACATTTTTTTGTTTAACCATCGGCACTCGATCTATTGATCAATTAATTTAGATCAAATTTTATGATTTAATATTTTTAATATGTGACCTAACATTTCAAAACTGTTATTAAATAAGTGTCTAACATTTTAAGTATGCTTAAATAAGAGTTTAATATTTTTGAATCTATTGGAATAAGTGTAATTAAATATTATTTAAAAAAATTATACTCTTATTTGAGCATATTTAAAATGTTAGGCACCCATTCAACCGTTTTGAAAATGTAAAGTCATTATATGAGTATATTAAAAAATATTAGATATTTATTCAACTGTTTTAAAATACTAGACCTTTTTATACGCAACCTTTAAAATGTTAGACACTTGTTTGAGGATTTAGCAATTTTAATAAAAAAATAAGTATAATTTTAATAGAAAAGTCTAATAAAATAAGTTAGGTGCATATAATATATAAGCATCCTCAACAATAAAACATGATAATTGAATTTATTATAATTAAAGCACATCATATTTAGGATGATTGAGAATATTTGTCAAAATGAGACTATCAGTCTAATGGTTCTAATGGTTCAAAGTATATATAGATAATCATATAACTACTAGTTAAAAAATTTAAAATAAATTTAACTTTGAAAAAAATAAAGGGTAAGCTATAAGATTGATCATTTTCGTTTAAGTTTTGTATATTTTTCCTCACTAAATTAAAAAATATATATAATATTTAATTACTTTTGTTTTCATTTAACTAAGATGTGATCATTGAGGGTTAACTTCCATTAAATCGAATTATTGACGAGACATAATGAATATATAAAATTAGAAAAAAGTTAAACTACACAATAATCACTATTATTTGAATAATTTTTTGTTTTCTCTACTGAAGTTTTAAAAGTAATAAACTGGTCACTAAAAAGTCAGACAGATCATTATATAATGATTTTAAAATTAATTTTCCCCACATAATACTAACATTTTCATAGCTCGATAACTTGGGCATTGATGTCTCAGATACACAACAACATAGTACAACAATGAGAGAGGATGAGGGGGGTCGATTAAAAACTAAGGATGCCTATTTATATTTATGTTTCTCCAGATAACAAGAAGCAAATAAATTAATAAAAAAAAAATCTGCTTCACCCACCTGAGCTATAATCACTAGATTCCGGCAGTAGAGGTACGGCGGCACAACAAAATGACTCTTTTGTCTTTGAGGAGAAGACATCTCTCATCTGAATTTCACTTCAAATTAGTGATGGAAAACTGTAGTAGTTGATTATTTATACAGTATACACCAGAAGGGGCCCACATATACAAATGAGAGCTGCCGGTTAAGGATGACAAACGGGTATAATTTCGTACCGTATCTGTTTCAATTGGAGCGGGGATAGGTATAATTTTGGTGGGTAGTGTGCGGGTGTGGATTTAAAAAGTGATACCCATCGCGGATAGTGGGCGGGTGATGGGTTTGAAACATTTCCTGTCCCACATCCGCCTGCTTACTAAATACCCATTAAATTTTGGATCATTATGAATTTAGGTATAATTTTAGAGATTAATTTATAAATATTAATATTGTATAAGATATATGATGTCAGGCAGGTCTAGCCGGGTACGTCTCCAGTTGGGTAGTGGGTGTGGGGATGGATTTGAGAATGTACTCGCGTGGGTAGTTGTGGATTTAAAAAATTTTACCCATCATAGGTGGTGAGCGGGAGGTAAATTTAAAAATATTAGATGGAGATAGAAATGGAGGAGAGGGTATCGCACCCGACCCGCCCGTTTGCCATCCCTACTTGCAGTGCATAACACAAGGCGATTACATATCGGATCCCAACCTGCCGCACTGATAGGATCCTTTTGCACCAAGATGGCAGCTAATTCCAAATAGCGTATGTCCCAATCGTTGCGAGTATAGATATATTAGCTATCATTGCTCCATGAAATAAGACCTAGAATAAATTTTAGTTTGGCTAGTAACACTTTAAAGGGAGGAAAATCAAAGTTAATTGAACCAACTCATTCTAATTAGTTTATTTAGCAGCTTAGTGCAGCTTTAAATATGAGCGTCCTTAAAGTATGATTGATCCCTAGAAAAAAATAACTTGAAACCAAATCATCATATCCATTAAGAATGCATTTTCTAACATCCTAATATGGCATCGACAATGATAATTGGCAACTGACAGTTAAGTGGCGGTTTTGTATCAAGTTGGACCTCTCCATCTATAATCAATGCGCTTTTAGGTTAATTGCTTGACATGAAAAAAAATAAATTAGAAAGCTTTTGAGGTAAATTAGATATAAAATCATTATTCAATGACCTATTTGATCTTTTAGTGACCAATTTGTTATTTTTGAAATTTTAGTGGAGAAAATAAAAACTTACTTAAATATTAGTGATCATTTGTGTAGTTTACTCTTTTTAATTTTATATATTCTTTATGTCGCGTTAGTAATCCACTAAAGATCTAACGAAAATTAACTCTGAATGATCATATCTTAATTAAATAAAAATAAAAATGACAAACATGTTTTTTAAAATTAAGTGATGAAAAATATATATAAAACTTAAATTAAAGTGATTTGTCGTATAATTTACCTAAATATAAATTGTAAAAGAAAGACTAAAACGTGATATAAGAGTAAACAATAGCATCTATCACCTATATAACAGTAGCTCTTATTAGCGGACTGGAGAACCTTCCGATAGGAGGTAGCCATTAATCGATTGGGATACTATTTGTCAGCCCAAACGAGATGGGGGACTCGGATTTCGTAATTTCCATTTGTTTAATTTGACACTGTCAGGAAAGCAAGTTTGGAGGTGTTTACAGCATCCACATAGTCTTGTTTCGAGATTATGGGCTGCTAAATATTATCCTTCCGGTAATATCATATCGGCAACTTTGGGCGATCGGCCATCTTTTATTTGGCGAAGCATTTATACTGCTCTTCAAACTTTGAAGCCTGGTTTTTATCGGCAAGTGGGGATAGATAGCTCTGTATTGATGCACGTTGAGAATTGGGGTGGAACATCTCCTATTACATATCAAACTTCCTATCAGGATAGCTCTACTGATCCTGTCCGAGTAGGATAATTTATGCTAACTGGAGTCCCTCAATGGAATTTGAAATTAATTCGACAGATTTTTTCAGCCGCTGATGCGCGACAGATTCTGAACTGCCCGATAGCCCCAGTTCCTTCTGACGATATGATTTGGAGTGGCCATTCTTCGGTAAAATCCGGTTATAAATGGTTATCAAAGCAAAATTGTCCTATATTACCAACGTCTCGTTTGTGGCTTTCACTCTATCGCCTTCATACATTACCACGTATCCGGTTGTTTGGATGGCGGGCTACAGTTTATTCTTGGCTGGTGTCTCGGATGGTCGCTGTGTTCTGTGCGGGGAGATGGAGGAATTAGTCCTTCATGCGCTAAGGGACTGTTCTTCAGTGAATCCCATCTTTGCCATGGCAGGTTTGCCTTCCCATGTGACTTCTGGTTTATTTTCATCATGTGGGTTGTGTTGGAATCAATGTTGTCTACCTTGGATGCTCGTTCTTTCACCTTGCTTATAGTCTTTCTTTCCCATATTTGGAACCGACAAGATGTGCTCGTACACGAGGGTCGCCTACTGCCTGGGTGGTTTCTGGTTACTTCAAGCAAAGCTCAGAAGCTTGCTTATGAACGAGCGGCTGCATCACCAATCCCAACTATTCCTGGTTCTGCTTCCATTTTTCACTCTTATTACCGACGAAAGCCACCATCGGGATTTATCAAGCTTAACGTTCATGGCGCCTGCCCAAATGATTCTGGTTCGATGGCAGTTGGTGCGAGATGCCGACGGATTTGTTTTAGCTGGTCGTGCTACCTGTGTTGACTGTCCCCGTTATGTGGGCTGTATCGAAGCTCATGCTCTTTGTTTCGGGTTGCAATCGGTTTCTGAAATGGGTCATACGAAAGTTCTCGTTGAAAGTGATGCTTCCAATGTCGTTCAGCAACTCCGTGATCACCACTCTGATCTGTCGATTGTTCGTTATATTCTGTTGGAAGCGAGGCAACATTCCATCCGGCATTCGGCAAATATTGCTGCCCATACTTTGGCTCATCACGCATCTATTACTTCCTCGACAATGTCTTTCTTGTTTGATTATCCTTCTTCTTTATCCGATGTTATTGTAACTGACGTCATTTTTTATTAATGAATTCTATGGTTATTTTCAAAAAAAAATATTAAATATGAAAAACTAAAATAGTATATTTATAAAAAGGAACAAAGAGATAAAAAAGGAAAAGAGGAAGATGAAAAATTGGATGAATGAATATGAAGAAATGAAATGGATTGACGACTAATTATTAAACTATTAGCGATATACGAATAAATTTATTAGTTTTTGAAGATAAGAGAAAAAAGGAGACAAAATTTAAAATTACAATTTGACTCATTCATGAACGAGTTAAAAAAATGAATCGAAGTCGAACAAAGAAATCAAATAAGTCCTAAGGCACACAACTTTATTTACAGTATTCTAATAAAACACACAAATATATTAAAATACGTAAACATAAGTTCAATTTAAAATGATTATGTTTTAGGATTTAAATATAATTTTATCATAGATTTCACACTAGATTAAGCAATATCCAAACCACCAAAGCACACAGGTTTTATGGAAAACCACGTAATCCAACATAATAAAAACACTTTATTTAATTAATCATTAATATCTGCTCAATTAACTGACTTACTAATTCAGATCGAGTTTTGTAGAGATGAGACAATCCTTCCAACTCAATTTACTC